ACAATCCAACAAGAAACAAAACTTTACATCTAACACTTGAAGCTTTCAACGCCAATTAATGCGTTATTTCCAGGCGATCAGCGGTGTCAATGGTGAATAATCAGCATTTCTGAGATCTCGGTCTCCATCTTCACGGTCCCTGTTGCAGAATAAGATCCTGGTATGTTGCCCTTTAGTTCAACATCGACACAACTGATCAACCGAGAACATTTTTGACACAACATTTTACATACCTAACTGAAATGATTCATTCAAGAATGATTTATTAAAATGGAAAATTTTCTAAAATTAATAAACGTACAAAGTTTAAAATATTCTGAATATTTTCGGATTACCCAGTACAGCCACGGGAAGACTATACATTTAATGCGAGGAACTAAAACAGAACCGATATATAATTTTTCTTCTATAGCTGTGATGAATTAGGCCTTCATATCTGTTCCAATTCAGAATTAAGGAATATATTATTATTGACGGATATATAAATCTTTCAACAGAAGCAAACTATGAATTGTTTACACTAATAGCATAGTGAGGCACTGTCACAGGAACAGCACACAAAACTGGTAGTCTTGTCAGGCCGCAGTTTCAAATAAACTCGGCGCACAGACTGTCTGCTAATTTAATCTCCCGACATCAGATCGCTAACAGGGAGCCAGCTAAACCTCGGACAACTGTCTCTGTTCCTAATACAATACATGCTGTAATGGCATTATATTCGAGAGGTAGCAAGCAGATCACCATTCTCAACCTTCACTATGTTACTTCTAGGTTGGTAACCCTTCTTCAAGTCATTTATTCCTCTATACAGGTCTCTAATGTTCTTGTTCTTACTGTTCATTGCAAGCTCATCAATTTTGTGTTTCAGACATTCCCTCTTTTTGTTCCTGAAATGCCCGGTGGTTTCACGTCTTATATTGTTCACATTATCCCCATTTATTTCACTTGGATCCTCTAACCACTGCAATTTGGCTTTTCTTTGGTCTAACAATTTTGAACATCCTTCATAGAACCATGGCTTATGCTTCTTCAGTTCATAATAACCTAGATTCTCCTAGGCAGAAATGTTTATATTCTAACAGTTTCCCAAGCTTTATTAACATCCACCTCAGTGTCCAAGTATTCCCAAGGCCGCGAACCTATTTGAGATTTCAATACAATACTGCTCTTTGCCCTCTACCTCATTTAATTTCTTGAGATTGAGCCTCTCCATATGAACTCTGCGTGTTGTTTGTTTGCTCACTGCCAGTCTCTCCATAACCTTTGCCACCACCAGGTAGCGGTCAGGATCACAATCTGCTGTCCTGAATGATCGGACATCAAGTATACTTGAGTGCCGTCTCCTATCTATCAAAATATGGTCAATTTGGATATGATATCCTATCACTAACGAACTCTACCTTCTTAACTGCTGATACGATTCTCTTATGTACAAAAAAACCTGTACCTAATTCATGATTTTCATTCCCCTTTCCATAGAAAAAGGTATATTCACCTGCTGGTGTGATGCCCCTTCCATCCCATCTGGCCTCCTGTACTCCCGCTAAATCTAACTTATATTTTAAGATTTCTTCCGCCACCGCCCTGAGCAAACCTGCCCTATACATTCTTCTAACATTCCATGTGCTGAATCTCATATCCATTTTCTTTCGCGCAGGTCGTTTATCCAAGGAATCCGTCCAGGTCCAAGGCTTCTTGTGTTCTTTCATAACAAGCTTATGTTTTACATTGACGAGTTGTTAGCCCCACGCCCAACCCCCAAGCTGGAGGACCACCCCTTGTCAGCTGTCCACGACTGCTTATTCAATATATTTGCAGTTTCCCTCCATAACTGGAGCAATTGTAACAACAAACGAATTTTCTCTTTTACACTGCAACACATGCAAGAAAGCACAGTTTGGAGCCTACAGTTAAGCAGCAATTTACCAACTTCCCTGCCTTGGAACACAAATTGCTATGAAACACTATGGCATATAAGCCAAACAATGCATAAAGCTGATCCCATACATGAAATTAGGGCATTTTGATGATTAATTTCAAAGGTATCAATCATCATCCAAAGAGAAAGCCTCTTGTCTCCATGTCTATCACCAATGTGAAGGCATTTCTGAAAAGATGGAATGTACATGGAATCATAACATTTAAACAACCTTGAAAACTATAATACTCTTAGGAGTTAACCCATGAGTAGACAGGAAAGAGATCAGAAACAGACAGCACACTGCACTTATAGCATTCCCTGTTAATATGGCAGAAGCTATTGGTGACACATTGGCGAAACAGGAAAACCGCTAACAGCTCAGCTCTGCAAATGTATTCGCTTAGTGGGGGGGTGGAGTGAAACTGGGTCCACTCGGCATGGCGGCCACTGATTGGCCTATTGTAGCCTGCCTTGGGTGATTATGATGGAGAATTTGGTGGAATGAAAACTGGCAGGGGAAACCGAAGTACCCGGAGAAAACCTGCCCCAGTGCCACTTTGTCCACCATAAATCCCACTTTACCAGACCTGGGATCAAACCCTGGCCGCTGCAGTGGAAAGCCAGTAACTAACCGCTTGAGCTATGGTGTGACCTTCTGCAAATGTATGCTCAATTACAGAGAGAAGTCTTCTAGACAAAATCAAAACTGGACCAACATGCCTATGAAGGTCATGGGATAACTTGGGATAAAGCAGTTTCAAAATTGAAAGTAACAGCAGTTATAAGAAGTACAAGGAACTGGCCCATACAGCATGTTTAACAAATCTGATCAATCAACCCAGTTCAGAAATTTCTCCCCCTTACCAGTGCAAAGACTGGAAACTTACAGGGAAGTCTGATATGATCTAGCAAACTCATCATGACTTTAGTGCCAGGGTTCAGACTTTGTTGCACTGATGGCATTCGCAGTACAAGGGTACTTAAAATATGTAAACTTCAATTTAACTTCAGCACTGGCATTTCTGAATTAGACTGTTGTTTTAGTTTGATGCATTTATTATCCATTTCCTTTTCTATCTTAGTTTCAGGTCTTCATATCCATTTCCAAAATTTTTACTGTGTTTCCCTGTTATCTCCCACAGGTGCATATACCTATGTAGTTACAGTGACCAAGGTTGTCCAGTGATTGAAGTCAGATCCTTCTAAAGGATCCAACAAAATAGATGCCTCCCACCCTTTCATTTTAAGATTGAAACAGGTCTAGTTTCTGAAAAGTTGTGCTCTTGAAAATACCACATGATGGACAAAGTTCAAGAACATTTTTTTAATACTCCTCCAGTTTTAGTAGTCTGGCCACATACAACTAGCAGACTGGAAGTCAACATTGGCTATAACAAATTTTTCTATTAAAACATTAAAACTCTATTTTCCAATAAGAATCCAAAATAATGCATGTGGGACATTCCTTGTCAAATTAACATAGCTTAGAGGAAAAATTTTCATGACCATCTCTCATTCTAATAGAACTTAGCAAGACTGCTGCCATATACAAAACTTTACATTCCGGTAACCATTAAGTGCAGAGATACTGGTATAGCACTTTGACAGTTTAAGTTTTCTTTAATGTTTTACCTGTTATGATTCATTAAAATGCTTATAACTCTGGTTCTACTTAAAATAGAAAAGTAGCTCTTGTGTGACAACAGATTCTCAAAATATTACTGAATTATAAATGGAGAAGGTACCGAAATATCTGATGGCCCACGACTAGATGGGATGAAGCTAATAGTCTAATAGGCCTATAACCTTGAAGTCAAAGAATCCAGTTTGTACTCGTACTATCTGAAAACTCTTAAGTGGGGGGCTTTCATCTAACATACCGCTCACAAAATTTTAGGAAATATGAACTTTTTATCTTGATGCCTGACCTTAGTCTCTACAAAAATGCAGAGCCAGATTTATGAAAGGAGTTCCCACAACACTTCGTGACCTCTTCAATACATCTCTGGGCAGTATCATGATGAGAAATGAAACTAATGTGAAGATATGATTTTTTGCCTCCTAAGAGTCTGATTGGGCATGATGAGTCATGTGACTTGTACAGACATTATGCAAAGGCATCATGACTTAACCAGCATTTCAGGCCATACCTTATGCCAGTAGAGTAAAAAGGAAGAAGGTAAAGCTATTCCTGTAGCAGGCCGTGGAGGCCCACACGGTTGTGAGACATCATGGCTCCCATATTTTCTACACAATCAGGTCATGGATGGCGGTAAGGTTGTCAGCCTTATGTACCATCTGCCCTTTACCCCCCCAGACGATTCTTGGTACTTATTTCTGTCAGAAACTGGGTCTACCCAAGGATCCTAGTGTGACTGCAAAGATCAGGTCAATTGAAAAATGCAATGACCTCATCACGAATCGATCCCATGACCTTCCAGCTTGTAGCATAGTGCCTCAACCAACTACACTACTGTGTGCCCCGATACCAGTTGAGTTACATTATATTTTCTTACCTGATAAAATCTGCAATGGTTCTGTCAAGCGCAAAAATTAATTTTTATTCTTGCCAGGTTTAAAATAGCTGCGAGTGCTACAAGTGTCAAAGAATTTTATGTTTTAAAACAGTCTGTAATTGAAGAGTTCCATTTTCTGGGTCACAATGCCATATAGCCTGTTGAAAGCCTAGCATTTTGGGGCAATAAATTCCTTCTATGTTCAGGGTCAAAGAATAAGCCAAGCAAGAAACCAGCATGAAGCATGTACCAAGCAGAGGCTCTTCTTCAACCCTGAAGATGGAGGCATCATGTTTCTCCAAAATGTTGGGTGATTTTAAATGGATTATATGATGTTATATCCCTGATGACCTGACTCTGATCCTTCATACCCAGTGTCGTGAGAACCTCAAATCCTTTGAATGTCACTCACAGTACAAGTTCCAACAAAAGCTGAAACCTGTCTGGGCAGGACTGTTTGGAAAGGGCAAAGAATCAGTAACACATGTAGGGAAACTACTGCACAGCTGCTTCAAAGTTCTGTAAATGACCAGTTCTATCTTCACGTTCAGAATATGGCATACCTGAAAAGGATGCCTGAACAGTTTTACAGTGAGCAGATCCACACTGTTTCTTCCCAGAACCAGACTGAGAACATTAGAAGTTACCACTTTCCACCAAAAGGTTGTCACATGTGAAGCATCCAAGAAATTCAAAGGAGCTATGAAAAGAAAAATGTTCAATATAACAAGTTTCAACAGTAGCGACAATTCAAGTGAAGGTGAAATGATAGCATAGCTGAAGGAAAATTTCAGGTGACAGGAAAGAAAAAGTGAAAAGTTTCAACATCTAACATTTTTTCCACAGCGCTCATCAATTATGGAAAGCCAAGAGCAGTTCATAACCTAAAATTACATGATACTAACAAACTAACTTACTCATGGAGCAAAGTGAAGCCACCAATTGTGCACCTACTCAAGAATTTCCCAATATTTTATGGAACCAGAAGGTTCATTACTGTGTTCACACAATCCCTCCACTTGTCCCTATCCTGAGCCAGATCAACCCAATCCATAACATTCTATCTCTCTAAGATCCATCTCTCTTTCATCCAAATATTCTCCTCAACACCCTGTTCTCAAACACCTTCAGTCTTATGTTCCTCCCTTAATGTCAGAGACCAAGTTTCACACCCATACAGAGCAGGCAAAATTAGAGTTATGTACATTCTAATTTCTATGTTTTTAGGCAGCAGATAAGAAAATAAAAGGTTCTGGACTGAATGGTAGCAAGCATTACCTGAATTCAATCTCCTCTTAATTTCCTCCTGAATTAGGTTTCGATTTGTTAACATCATTCCCAAATATCTGAACTGTGTCACATTTTCAGAACATCTGTTTTCTATTGTTATGTCATAATTTTGCTCTGCATTCTGGTGATGAGACAGCAACATATACATAGTTCTCTATGTGTTTACTTCTAGACCAACCTCCTTACTCACATGAAATAAAGTTTGTGTGTTTTCCTTTATGGTATCTATGTCATATCTCAGTATTCTCAAATCACTGGCATAGACCAGCACCCGATATATCCCGTTTAATTTCAGTCCCAGCTGGTTTTCCTGACCTTCCTACTGGAATATTCTAAAGCAAACTTGAAAATCAATGATGATAAAGCACTTCTTGCTCCTGTTACTGCATGTGTTGTACTGCTGGATATGTGTGTCCATATCCAGCAGTACAATGCATGCAGTAACAGGAGCAAAAACACAACACAGTACATGATACACAAATGTATGTAGGAAGGATGCTTACATAAAACAGGATTGACGTAATTCGCGTGTTTGAGTGAAGTTTTATTATTTAGAATTCATCGACATATATGACAAATACAGATTTTAGTCATTTTAGAATGAAGACATCATGGCATGCAGTACAATAGTTTAACGTGCATAAAGACACCTGAGGATGGCACATTAGTGCTGAAACATGTAGTGTGGAAGTGAAGAATAAGGTGAAAAAGTGTATACACTGTAAGACGGTTAGCATAAACCATGGACATGAATCAGTGTAACAGGACGCTAAAATATAACATTTTTAATACCTCCAGTATTTAGAGATCCAAAGTGGAGGCATATGAGCTGTCAACGAACAATGAATATATGAGTGACAATTTCGAGGGGGGCTATGTCCTTTTGCCTCACCAATCACAACGTTATTGATCTCGTCTGTTACATATTTCGAACACAAAGACAACCTAACTTACAAGCGCACAAAATAACAAGTCAAATTCTCTCTATGAGATATAGTCAAGCTCAACTTACATTAACATCACCGTGTGTAACGACATGATATACATTCATGGCTGGCATTCTGCTAACAGAAATGCTACTTTAGAGAACACTTACGTTTTCGTAGAAATTTGTTACACTAACAACTGATTTATGATTGTCTGTGATTCGTGAGTTCTTTAATCACGCTGTATAAATGTCGGACAGACTGACCAAATACCACTTCCTCAATTCAACTATGCAATAACATTAAACACATTTCGTACAAAACACTTTACTCGCAGAGACCGAAACCACACATCCAATCCCATAAACGTTCTGGTACGTCATTTCCTCTTCCTATTGTCACCGCCATTTAGATAACATCGAAAAATGTATAGTGATGGACGGCGCGGGGTTTCTCTTTCGCAGCATATGTTGGTGGCAGCACATGACACAGTCGCCTTAGCATATGTAAAGTACTACAACAAATTTGGAGAGCTCTGTGCTTTGGGTCACAGCGGCTTACGGTCTGTTGAAAGTCATCCGTCGTTTCGGAGAAAGATGTCGCCTCTGTCTTCAGGGTTGAAGAGTAGACCAAGCAAGAAACTAACACAAAACAGGCAGACAGGCAGTAAGCTTTGTTATATCCTAGAAGACAGTACGCTTCATAACCAACAGTGTGAGACCCTTAAATCCCATATAAAATACTTTCGCGGAAAGAAATGTATCTACGGAAAAGGACCCAGAGTACCACATGGCACTCAAGATTATATTCTACACTTTTATGTTGCTGAAGTCGTATTTGGGTATATTAAACATTCCAGAAATTGCTACCCCAATGCAGAAATAAGTCATCATTTTCCATCAATTACGTCATTTCTCCGGTGTGACTCATATATCGGGCATATCGTTCTTTGACGATAGCGATAAAGCAACAACAAACAAGCGGCAGTTCATTTATTTTCGGCTATATGGCATTGCAAAACAAGGAACTGGGACTACGGGTGGGAAGCAGATCAGGGTATTGTTAAGTAACGAGAAGAAACCTGACCCTCGTCCGCTAATGCACAAGATCAGTTCAGTTTAGTGGCTGACACATCAGAACTGGAAATGGCTATATTGCTCCCACCTAAAAATTCCTTAATTTTCCTCTCAGCTTGTACATATGCTCACTCCCTTCCCTCCCTTCACATCCCAACTCTCGCACGTCGCGGCAACGGTTAAAAAATGAGAAAGGTGAAATTATCCGTGCACATTTACTTAAGAACCACGCCATTAAGACGTATGGAGGAATGGAGGTATAGTTCCACCTTTATTAACTTCGATAGTAGGTGGAGGTGAGTGAAAGGCTTCAAGTCCCAAACTCTTTTCCTTCGCTACCCATTGGATGGGCGGCTAGGCGGGCCCCAGGGCCGGTTTGGACAGTATGGAGAGAGAAAAAAAATCTCTTGCCCCTGACGTCAAGCCTGTATCTAAACCGACTGAGCTATTGCGTCGAAGCATCTGGAAATAATTACACGCCTATTAGACACGTATTTGGGTTGGTCATCCCGTGATTCAGAATTACAAAATATTTTGTCGGCGTGAAATTATTATATGGCCAACACGAATTCTAAATAAATAAACAAATCTTACTGGATTAACATTTATTTATTATTCTGTACCTGATACATGCTTCGATCCAGCTGGATCACGAGGCCGTGTTCATGATACATCACTCGTTATTGAATTGTGTTCTAATATGAATCCATATTGGTAATTATTATAAACTTCGTTACCGATTTCCGTGCCTCATTGTGTAACTAAATTGTAATATTAGTCATAATGGCTAAAACGTTAAAATATTGTTTCAAATCTGTTAGAATGTTATTTTTTCACAGTTAATTATCAATTAATTGTAATTAATTTTACACTGAGATTATTTTGAAGTGAAGTAAACTACCGTGGTCATATGTTGTAGAGTAGAGCACAGTTTTTTATTTTTGGAGTCGGAATTGTTTTTAGTCCATTACGTACATGTATATGTTACGTGGGCGATAACTCGCGTGCAAGTAATGCTAAGTTCTGTGTGTTCCCTTATTTCTTTCTGTGGTGTCCTGAGGGAACTACGTCAGTGGGGTGGGGGGGGTTAGGAGTATGGAAACAACTTGGGAAGGTTCTCTGAGCTACCTCCATACTGGGTAACCTTTCAAGTCACAGGATTCGAGAACAGGGTACCAGGAGGGTTCTACACTTAATTTAGCCCATTTTCACTGGTTGTTGCCATCTTACAGTCTCTAACCATAAAAGTCTCTTCAGAGAGGGGGTACCGGAATAGACTTGAAACACAAGAGGTGTCAATTTACATTGTTATTAGTGCAACAGAGTGCATACAATACAAATTTTGTGTGCGATCTAAGTTCATAATACGATCATCGGGATTGTTATGTTACAGTTATGAGTGAACAGATCTGCTGCAAACCGTATTTCTTCTTTCCAGCTTCATTGTCATTGGTTCAGGAGTAGTAATGTGTTGTTGCATCATAGCTAAGAAGCATAGGAACAGCTCGAAGTACGCATAAGTATGGCAGTGAAAGTATAATTAAATGATGTGGGTTTCAAGGTTTGACAGTTTGCATGCACTATTCTTGCAAAAGCAGTTGATTCATGTGGTTTCTCTCAAATTTTCCTCTATTCACCAATATTAGAAGCTCCCCTGTATTTGAATAAGAATGGAAGTAACAGTGCTGGTCTCATATTTGATGAATAAAAAGTACATTTCCTAATCTCAGGTGGATATTTGGTTGTGCATCTTTACACTGTCAGTTGCAAGACATGAAGACATATTGGGGAATGGATTTATAGTTTTACACCCCTGTAACTTTACCCCCTAGGAAATGGGGTCCCTGGTACCCCCTGCCCAGGAGGCTGGGTGGGCCCCACAGTTTTTCTGTCTATATATGGGGGAAGGGGGGAAACAACAAAGTGAACAGACATATGAGACTTGTCTGATAATGGTAGTTTTTCACCATAAAATAATCCTGTTGGAATGAATTGTGATTTATTTGATAAATCTGGCCTGTGTGTGTTTGGTACTTGAAGTATATAATCCACCGAGTTTTTATGTACAGTATTCTGGAGTCATCGCAAGACCAGTAACGTGTGGTTGGAAGACATTCATACAAGGTTGGATGCAGTTCAATGGCCATTATATAATTTGCGGAGAGAGACAGAGATTACTTTCAGTTTGAAAGCCACCTGAATTGAACTCAGGTATTTTGCATTTGTGTGCAGCTACAATCTAAATTACATGGCATTCAGTAATCATGTTAAGTTTAGAATCATTCTAATTTACTTACTAACAAACAAATGTTCATATAAACTGTTCTGTTTTATATTATGGAGTGTTTCTGTAAGTTATTTGATTTAAAAACATAATGGCCGCTTATAGGGCTTGTAGTAGCCAGCGTCTGCTTTGATGAGTGGGTGGGTGGGTGGATGGATGGATGGGGGTTGTACACCTGCAGCTGAACTCATCATTGGCAAGTTTCGTGTGTATCAACTCTCAGACTTCACTTGCTTCCATGGAAGACTTAAGTGGCAGCTGGTTTGTCAGGCCACCCTCCGCACTGACTTGCTGCATTTTAATTTTATTCATCCGTACTTTATTTAACCCAAGTTAAGCAGTGTCAGGTGACTGGATGACAGTAAGTCATGACTTGGAAGGAATGTGGAAGGAAGAGGCTGTTGCTTGATTTCAGGTAGTGTGCCTGAATTTGAGCAGATCAGCTGAGGAAAACTGCCACAGCTTGTCAGCATGTGCCGTACCCTGGCCGGCACTCAAACCAGAAACCTCTCAGATTCAATTCAGAGGCATCACTACCTGAGCCAACTTGCCTAGTGTCTCACTGCATAATACAAAAGGAAAATACTATGAACTGTTTATTAGTTACAAGAATATAAATCTAGCAGAATACAGTGCAAACCCGATTTTATTGTTAGTAAATCTTCCAACATTTTTTTGCTGAGTATCAGAACTTGAAGGCATACAAAGGGAGCAAACACAAATCTCCATGCATTCTGGAGCACGCAGATGTTGAGGTTGATTGGTCAGCTTCAGGCTCTCATCTCTTTACCTCCAATTGAATATAGTTTGTTTGTTTGTTTTTTGTTCAATTAGTGTATGACACTGTATCTCATACGTGGTCTAGTTATTTGTCACCTTCACACATTTCACATTGACGAAGGGGGATGACTTTGAATGATATATTTGAGAAGACGTAGAATGATCATGGCCTACTTAAGGCACTCTAATCAAGTGACAGGAACAGCACTGAACACAGCAATCAGAATGTCCAAGATTAGAACTGGGGACCTCACGGGTATTAAAGCAAACCCTGTGAGTACTTGGCACCCATTCAACACCAGCCAGGCACAGTGAACAGACACATCATCTGTCCACAGCGGAGTTTGAACCCTGGCAGCTCTGACAGTGACTAGGAGTCTGTGCCTGCCAGCTGAGTAGAAAGTGGATGGAGATCGCTGGTTTAAATTTCGGCCAGAAAGTCTGTCATGCTGACGTGATTTTCCTCGGTCGCTTCAAGCAGAAACAGGAATTGTGCCTTAAAATGAGTCATGATCACTGCTACATGTGTTTTGAATTAAACTACATGTCGAGTCCATCACAACCTGTACATAAATAACCTAACAGAACTAGACAACAGCTAATAGCTTCCCTCTTATTTCAGTTCATAAACCTCCATGCCATCATACACACCCACAGTGTAGAGTTAATACACCGAATGGAATATGTCGCCACTTGTACTTGATGCATTTCAGCTTGAGAGCATAATCAGAGAAGCAATATATATATATACTTACTTACTTACATACTTACTCATGGAGCTGAGCTGTTCTGGAGGAGCCGCCAATTCTGCAGCTACTCAAGAATTTTCCAGCGTTTTATGGAACCCGAAGGTTCATTACTATGTTCACAAGAGCCCTCCACTGGTCCCTATCCTGAGACAGATCTATCCAATCCGTACCATCCCATCGTATTTCTTTAAGATCCATTCTAACATTGTTCACCCACCTATGCTTTGGTCTTTCCTGTGGTCTCTTTCCTTCTGGCTCTCCCACCAATATCCTATATGCATTCCTCGACTCCACCATTCGTGCTGCATGAACTGCCCACTTCATCCTCCTTGACTTGATCATTCTAATTATACTTGGAGAAGAGTACAAGTTATGAAGCGCCTCATTATGCAGTTTTCTCCAACCTCCTGTCACTTTGTCTCTCTTCGGTCCAAATATTCTCAACACCCTCTTCTCAAAAACCCTCAGTCTATGTTCCTCTCTTAATGTCAGAGACCAAGATTCACACCCATACAGAACCACAGGCAAAATTATAGTTTTGTTTATTCTAATTTTTATGTTTATGGACCGCACACAATAAGAAAAAGCTGCTGGACCGAATGGTAGCAAGCATTACCCTAGTTCAATCGCCTCTTAATTTCCTCCTGAATCAGGTTTCGATCTGTTAT